GGGTCTCCAAAGGAGGAGAAAAGGAAACAGCCTAAACAGGGCTCTTGGAAGACCTGTAAATTCTTCATCATTAAATGAGCACAATGACCCAGCTCTCTCTCCATGCACACAAACACCAACACACGTGTGTGTGTGTGTGTGTGTGTGTGTGCACACACAACAAACCATATATCACAGTCATGCTCACACACATGCACACACACACACACACACACACACACACACACACACACACACACACACACACACCACGGAGAATGAACTTGATCCACTTGTCAATTTTGTTTTCTGGATCACAGCTTGGATCACAGCCAGAGACTTGATTTGCAGGAGGGAGAAAGTGAAAGGTCATTCTGCACACCACATCCTCTGTGAGCAAAGAAGATTAAAGGGCTATCAAATAAACCAAAGGATTTAGGAACCTTCATGTTATAAAGGGAGAGAAAAACAATAAATCAATTACTACTCAGTTAAAATTTTAATTAAACTAGTTCAAGTATCTCTCAAGTTAAAATGAATTGTGAAGGTTAAACCTGAGTGGAAGACATTAGAGAGAAACTAAGGCTGGACAAGCTTCCGACTTTTCGGACCTTCACAAAGAGAAACAGAACACGGGGCCCCTAATGAAAGACTGGAAGACATTTTCTCATTGTAAGATCCTGGTTTTAATTAAAGCCTTAGAAAATACTTTTTAAAATTAAACTATACAAGCACTTAATCTTCTACTAGATACAAAAGAAAAGGACAAAATGTAGCAGAGAGTAATTGAAGTCAAAAGTAAATTATATATATATATATATATGCATATACATACATGAAATGACACAGAAAAGCAGCTCAGTGGTAAGACTCTCCGCCTGTGCTGCTGACCTTCCTCAGCACAACCAAGTTTCACTTTTCATGATCACCATTATCCATGAACAACTCTGCTCCAAACATACCAAATGAGCAACTCCAGAACCAAACAAATCCATAGCCTAATGAAATCTCGAGACATCATCACGTCCTCCAGCATATACATACTGTACATACTACCTACCTGTTAGTCATTCCGTGGCCATCTTGGTCATGAGAGTAACCACCTAGGAATCACAGTGCTTATGTTTAAGTAATCTTTATTTTACTTAATAATGGCCCCAAGTATAAGATTAGCCATGTTGGCAATTCTACTAGAGACTGTTGTCTTAATTGTTCTGTACTATTTATTGTTGCTAACCTCTCACCATGCTACATATGTAATAAACGGTGGAGACGGTGGATCCTTAGTTTGCTGGCCATCCAGCCTAACCAAAATGTTGGGCTCACAATGAGAGGCCTGCCTCAAAATAATACAACAGCAGAGTGAGAGAGGAACAAACACCATCCTGCTATGGCCTACACATACAAACACAGACACAGACAGACAGACAGACAGACAGACACACACACACACACACACACACACACACACACACACACACACACACAGACTCAAAAAGTTAAAACACAGAATTATATTAACCCAGGCATTCCATTCCTAGGTATATACTCAAAAGAAATGAAAACATGTATTTATGTGCAAATCTGTGTATTAATGTTCATAGAAGCATTATTCACAGTAGCCAAAAAGTGGAAACAAGCTGGATGTCCATTAACAATGAATGAACTAACAAAGTATAATATATCCATGCTCTGAAATGCCATTCATTCATGAAAAAGAGTGAACTAGTACATGCTACCACATGGATAAATCATGAAGAAAGCACATTAAGTGAAAGGAGCCGGACACAGAAGGCCATGCTTTATGACTCCTGTTTATATGAAACATACAGAGCATGGATATCCACAGGGACACAAAGGTCAGTCAGTGAGCTCCAGGGCATAAGAGGAAAGGAAAGTATGATTGCTTAGTGGGTACAAGTGTTGGTTTAGTTTTGCTTTACAGTGATAAGAATGTTCTAGAATTAGATAACTGTAATAGTGTACACATTTTGACCATGCTTAAAACCATAGAAATTTATGTTCCACAATTGTTAATATGGTGAAATTTTATGTCAGCTTTATCTCAAAAAAAAGGTAGGTAAAAATAGAATCAGTGGATTGAAAAATAGGTCATAAAAAACTTGAAATGCATAGAAAGGGACCAAAGGATAGGAAACACTAAAATGGATATAAAGGCACAGAGAAAAGCTCACGCATGCTCAGCTTTGTAAACTTCAAGCATACACTAACGTATTATTAGCATTTCTCTGGGGTCTTTTTATGTCTGCGTGGTATTTCTTTCTACTGAAAATATACAATTCACTTAACTTTTCTGGACAGCCCATCTCTTTTCTCCAGGTTAAAGACAATGCACCATGAACACTATACTGTGTATTTATGCAGGCTCTGCTTGGACAGACAGAGGGTGTGCTCACTTAGAATTGTAAAGGGTTCTATCAGAATGCTCTCTGAAACAGATTGGTCTAGAAGCTTCTATTTTTCCACACTCACATCAACCAAGATTACTATTATATGCTTAAGAGCCTTCACCAATCTGATAATAAAAAATTTCAATTATGTGTCATTTTAACTTATATTCTGTTGGTCACTAGTGATGTTTCCTGAGAAGTGAAAGATGGAATGGAGCAGGTCCTCTAAGAGACAAAAAAAAAAAAAAAAGGCAGCAAAGCCAACATCAAGAAAACAGAAGACAACCATGTCAAATGGGAACACATTCATCTGACACTTGAGTAGGAGGACTCACGGTGGACCAGGCCCTGTGCTGGGGCTCTGACCCCAAGAGAGGAATGACTCAAACCATCCTTGGGATAAGTGAGAGAAAGCACCATAAGACGCAGAGAACACACAGCCAGGGCAGGCTGATTTGAGATTCGGAGTGGGGTTCTAGAGCCCAGAGGGAGGTGCTCTGACCTGACACATGGTTAGTGCCAAGTCCCTCCAGGTCAACCCAAGCTGATTAAGGCCAAGGAATATGTAGAAGTGAGCAGGACAAAGCCATCTTTGAGGAGCTAGCTTCCCAGACAGAAGGGTGACCTCAGGTGATAAAGGGGAGAGACAGGCATGAGGGAGCTGTTGTGGGGGTCCAGGGTCAAAGACAGGTCATATCAGGGAGGGGAGAAGCTCCTGAGTGGATAATGACATCTTTTCGGTAAGGAGGGGAAGGAAGGGCAGAAGTCAGAATATACATCTCACAAAACACCCACCCACAGAACTCCCTGTAAGCACACATGGGCTTTACTACCATCTTTCCAGTCCTTGTTTATAAAAGAAACAGAAATGTACAATTGTTCTCTGTCTGACTCATGCTCCATTTCACACTGATGAACAAGAACTACACTTTGCAAAAGCTACCCTCACATGCTGGCCATGTTAACCCACTGACTGCTGCTACCAGGCAGGTGAGTTTGCTAAGGAAACCACCCATTTCCCTGAGTTCAAAGCACAGAGTCAAGGTGTTCCTTAACTGGAGCCTCTCCTGGGAGGCCTCACTCAGCAGGCTCAGCTGGGAAGTACTCCTGCAGATGGTCGCTTTCCTACTGGCTCCTCCCCAGAGGCAGGACTCCTCACCTGGCAGGGAAAAGGTGGGAACTGAGGATCCCTGTGCTAGGGAGAAACTGACCCCAGAGCCCAGGAAAGCTTTTCTCTTTCTTCAGAGTACCAACCGTTCCCTGCAGGTTGAGAGGTGACTATGGATGACTTCCCATTCATGTGCTTTTCTGGGGGGGAGAGGACAGTTTGTCCCAGAGCCCTCAGGGTGGAGGCAGGTGCGGCACAGGCACACACCAGCCGCAATGGTGATGCTGACCCAAGAGAATTCCTTCTCCTCCTCTGCCATGTCAGGTGCTGTATTTTCTTAGTTTCTCATCATGCCACGCAAACAGGAACTAGCAAAACTTTCTAGCTTCTCAACAACTTAATCATCTGTCAGACATGTTTCTCTAGCACCCTAGGCCTTGGCCAGAGGGACTTATTAACCAAACGGTTTTTGTCTGGAGTCTCCTTGTTAAAAACGTTCGACAGATGATCAATGAGCCAGACTGTTTTGAATGCCAGTCTGAATGTTCCCAGGAAGGAACAACTGTATGAGCAGAGCGGTTAATGAAGCCCTCGATGGGACATTTACCACCCAGCCTGGGCTTCTACTCAGGAGACTGGCTGCTGTCCCTCACCATATATACAGGGTTTGGTGGGGAATTTCTCTAAGCCTTGTTTGCAGCCATTCCCCCCTGTACTATATCTTTTCCTTATCGTCTGCAGGGACCTAATTACAGTGCCTGGATGGCTCCTCTAATCCTTGGCACCTGCTGCAGCTGATCTCATTCAGGAACAGAGGTACAGCAGCTGCAGACAGATGGATCTCACTTTCCCACTGACTGTGAACCTGAAGGATGCTGTGTGACGCCAAGATTCACGAGCTGAACCTTCCTCTAGGTTTATAATATGGCTTTGGAGGCACTGTTTCCAAGATTACAGATAGTAATTTATTGATAGTGTATAACACCCCCTCCCTTCCTCCTCACCTGTGCAGAACCTAGGTACAGGAGGTACCTTCTCTGACTTGATACGAATATCTGTCTCCATTTCTCAGAGAAATAAAGTGAGCATTAGAAAAGAAACTTCGTTTGCTTTAAATAAGTCAGCTGGTGGGTGCCAAAGCTGAACTCACCCCACACTTGTCTGGGGTCAGTTTCCTGTTTTTATTCCATCGGAGTCTGACTTATACATACATACACACACACACACACACACACACACACACACACACACACATGCATACACACACACACACACACACACACACACACATCACTGACCAGGTATTAGAGGGACACCTATAGAGCTACTAAGTAGGAAATTCAAAGATCTGATCTTCCACAAGATCTATATTCAGACAATTACGTGGCTCCAGGTGGATTTTCTAAGTGTCTGCTGTATCCATGAACCAGAGAGCTGGCCTCACGGTAATCTAGGGTGCTCCTGTGTCACAAGTCCCTGCCCAGCACGCCTGCTGTGCTTACCATCTCCGCTCTTGCTTGGGTTAGGGGTTTCAGGAGTATTCAGAGGCCTGAGAGGAATGATGACATCATCCACATTGACCCCCTCTTCACCATGCTTCTCAGAAACATGGGTCAGGAGTTCTGACTGATTTGGTGAGAAAAGATTACAGCATTTACACATGAAGATGGCTGTATTTTCTGTAAGGAAAAAAAAACATAAAATATTGTTATTTCTCTGTCCCATCAACAATGATTACTCCAAAGAGCCAAAAATCCAAACAAACAAACAAGAAAACCAGAGAGAGAAACCATGTGTTCACTGTCAACAGCCCCCTGCAGACTACGTTCACCTTTACCTCGGGGCCACGAGGAGAAGAAAATGGTTTTTTTTTCAGTATTTCAAGTCCTTCTCTGGAAGAGAGTAGCATGGACCTCCCTGTGACCCAAACTGACCCAAATCCACGCAGCAGCCCAGACTTCAGGACAGCACAGTCAATGGAAAGAGAGCCCTGGCCTAGAAGTTAACCCCTGGCCCGTCTCTGCTGAAGGCAGCAGCACACTGGGGATGGCTCGGCACTCCAGCCAAATTCTCTCTGACCAGATGCAAGCAAAGGTCGGCCAGGGCAACACTTGCCAAGAGCTGAGACCCTTGCCATGACTGAGCACCTGGCTCCAACGCTGATGAGACACAAAAGCTAGGAATGTGTTGCTTCAAGCCATTTAATTCCTACCTCAAATATGATCACTTTTCACAGCAAAACTAATAATCCCTCTTGTTCCTAACATTACATTAGGTAAGAAGACAGAACGAGGCAAAAGAACTCATTTTTCATTGATGAAATAATTACAAATATATATCAAATATCATATTTAGGATCCAAAAGCCATTAAGAGGCAGATTTTGTTGTTGTTGTTGTTGACATTTTACATGTTTACTGAAATGGACTGATATGATATAAAAGACCATGGTTTGCAACCAAGCAGACCCAGGTTAAGTTTCCAACTCCCATCCCTAAACACTATAAAGCAGTGTGACCTTGGAGAAGTTCAAGTACTCTCCGGGTGATTGAAGTCAGTGGGCAGAGGAGGTCAACAGCCTCCTTGGCAACAGTCACCAGGTTATCCCACCATGCTCCAAGGCCTCGTCTCACAGTTTAAGGGGCTCACAGTTCACCATGGAGGAAAACACGGGGTGGCAGGAGCTTGAGGTCACACTGCCAATCAGGAAGCTGAGAGAGATGAATACTTGGTTCACTTTCTCCTTTTCATTCAGTCTGGACCCCAGCCCATGGAATGGTTATCTCTTACAGTTAGAAGGGGTCTTCCCACTTAAATTAACAGAATCTAGATTATCCATCAGAGGCATGATCAGGTGATCCAAGACCTGTCAAATGGAGAGTATTGATCACCACAGCCTGATACCTGGTTTTGACATGGGTATGTGTGGCTAGAAACTGTGAGCAGAGCTCCACCAAGTTACAGCAAAAATACTCAGGATACCTACAGGACTAAAGCCATTCCTGTCTGAAACAAATTTAAATACACAATGCTGAACTAACATATCACCTGCAGGCCATGGACAAGCCCTGATCTGATTTGGGCAGACAAAGATGAATCTAGACCCAGACCTGCCAAGAGGTGACCCTGATACCACCATGACACAGACAACACAGAACCACTGTTTCTTACAGTTTGCAATGGTGTAACTTCCCAACCGGCCTCTATCAGTCTACTATCCTAACATTATTTCCCAGATGTTCTCAGGGGAATGAGAACTTTGTGACATTTAGCAGGGGAGAAAGTCTAGGGGCCGCAGAATTATTATAAGGCCTCTCATAGTTCAGAGGCACAGTAAACATGTGGAGATTAAATAAATTTGATGACATTTTGTATGACAGCACCAGAGAGGGCCCTGGTACCCCAGGGTGACACCTACCTCAGCCATCTGCTATTAATTAGCATGAGCTTCCCAGGTACCCACTGCATGTTTAGCTGGTGGGCAGTGGACTGTGCTTGCAATTCTGAGTGACGACAAAAATAAGTCCTGGTTTGTGACCCAGGGCCACTCACATAAATGTGGGCTCAGCCAAGCAGTGTGGCCATGAGACAGGGTTCAGTGAAGAAAACTGGACCAGAGAAGGCTGACAGGGACAGAGGCTTCTCAGCGTGGACTGCTGGGAGTCAGAACTGCAGGAGAGCAAGAGGCAGATCCCAGAAGACACCAAATAGGAAGAAGGGAACTCCCAGAAATTGAGGGGTTGAAGAAGAGAGCCAGGACAGGAACTAATATGGCTGAAAGGTCCAGCAGTGATGGCTTCGCTCTCAGAGCTGGGCCCCAGTCCCTCACTACCAAGCTGCACCCGCTCCCTGAAGTGCTGCCCACCACCCCAGTCCTCTGAGGGGGGATTTGTTCACCTACTGTACCAGAAAATAGCAACAGCCTGAGTTGCATGAGGAGACAGAGAAATGGGGGGGGGGGGGGAATGCTGGTATGATAGAGGAGGCCACTAGAGGGGTCTGTCAGGAACAGAGAAGCGATATGAGGGCCTGAGATGCAGGGCTGCAGAGAAGAAGCATACGTCAGGCACGGCATTGCTGCTGACTGGAAATGAGCAACAGAGGGCAGGTAGGTGAGGGCCTCTGCTCTGCTACTAACAACATAATTGTGTCTTCAATAACTGCCTGCCCCAGACACCCAGGACAAAGCACAGGGCAGGCCCTCTTGAACACAGGCCTCCAACACAGTGACAGGGCACTTCCTGGAGATGTTTTGAACGCCATGCACGAACAGCCAAATGTCAAAGCACATAAAAGGGGGTGCTATACCATGCTGTACCCACCACGTGTTAAGGATTATTAATACACCAAAATAATAACAGGAGAGCCACTTTTATTTCTATAGTGGCCAGATATGAAAAAGTATATCTTATATCCTGACATATAGTCGTAATTATGTTGTCAGCTAGCTCTGATGAAGATGTGATAATGTGGGTGCATCTTGGGGTCCAATTACTATGCTCTCTTCCTTAACAAAAGAACTCAGAGAAAATGACATGCTCAGCACAAGGAGACCCACAGCAGTCTGGGTTATGAGCATGCAATTCCCCGGAATTATCTGCTGGCTGGAGGCAGCTCCTCTGCACTGGGGCAGAGGAAACCCTTAAGATGCTGGCAAAAATAGTTCCTTGTTTCTAAACTCTAAGCTAAGGAGCAACCAGGTCCTCTGTGGACCTCTGGCCTACCTGCCCTGGGGACCCTAAGATAAACAGGGGCTCTGCCCCAGCCCCCAGCCCCAGAAGGTGACCATGAACTAGACCATGAGTCTAGGGTCCCAGGGAATGATGGAGCATTAGTGGAGCTGTGGGCTGAAGTAGCAGGTTGTAATCAATGGGAAGAATATTCTGGCACCTAGCACACCATCTAACACTTTGTGCTGTTGCTCCTTGTAAGTCCGTTCAGCATGACTAGAACAAAACAAGGTTCTGGCATCTGTGGTCTCGGCCCTTACCGATCCTGCAGAGGTCATTTACTGTGGTGGTATTCTAATTGTACTGAAATGTGATTTTGATTGTATGTTAATAAATAAAGTTGCCCAGGGGTCAGAGCTATTAGAGCCATAGACAGAGTGTGGCGGTGGTGGCACATGCCTTTAATCCCATAGATCTCTGTGTGTTCAGGGATACAGCCAGCATTGGAGACATATGCCTTTAAGACCTAGGGGGCTGTACATTGAGACAGTGACGAGGCAGTCACGTGTTTGGGTTTACAACCAATGAGAAGGCAGAATGACTGGAAAATCTACTTACACACAGGAAATAGCTCTCTTTCGGGAAGCTGGGACACCGCAGGCTGAAGGGTGAGATTTTAGCTCTGAGCTCTGACCTCTTGGCTTTCTCTTTTACATTGTTTCTGTGTTTCTTATTTAATAAGACGGTTGGTTACATCTACATCTGGCGCCGGCTACGCTTTCTTGTGCGTTCTCTCTCTCTCTTTCCTCTCGGCCTTCTCATTGGTTGTAAACCCAAACACGTGACTGCCTCGTCACTGTCTGAATGTACAGCCCCCTAGGTCTTAAAGGCATATGTCTCCAATGCTGGCTGTATCCCTGAACACACAGAGATCTATGGGATTAAAGGCATGTGCCACCACCGCCACACTCTGTCTATGGCTCTAATAGCTCTGACCCCCGGGCAACTTTATTTATTAACATACAATCAAAATCACATTTCAGTACAATTAGAATACCACCACAATTTACTGCTGAAGTAACAATATGAGTTGCTGCTCATTGTGAAACAGTCACAAACAGAATTAGAACCAATAGAATCACTGTGTGCCTGGCCCATCTCCTTTAGACTTACTGTGTATCAGAGACAGAGTCAGGCAGAGACCAGGGGAGGGTCCACCTCAGATCAGTAAGAGCCTTTCCCATCCCTTCAGGGGCCCCATGCTCACTCCAACTCCAGACACAGCATGGGGAAAGGCAGAAGAGACACTGGCTTTCATTGACATGAACAGTGGGGGTCAGGAACTCTGGCTAAAATCGCACAACACTCTTCCTTACAGAAACAGCCTTAGAGGGACTGTGACAGTCTAAGCCAGTGGTTGTCAACCTGAGTGTGTCATGACCCCGATGCAGCACAGGGCGCACATATCAGGTATTTTTAAATTATGATTCGTAACACTGGCAGAATTACACTTACCAAGTAGCAACAAAATCATTTTATGGCTGGGGGGTCAGCACGACATGAGTAACTGTAGTAAAGGGCCACAGCTTAGGAAGGTTAAGAACCACTGCTCTAAGCTATTTTGGGACATTGCTCAGGACTGGGTGGCAGGATTCCTGGGTACCCTCTGACCTCCTTTGCATCTCCGGGCAGAACCTAAATCTTTCTAACTCAACACATGAAAGGCTGAAGGCAGGTGGCCCAGAATACCTGAGTCTGTTTCATCTAGCCAGAATGTGCAGCCTGAGTAGACCAAGAGTCAGGATTCTCAGGAGGCAGACATACACATGTGCCTGGGGCAACACACAGTACATGGCCAATTTCTAAATCCTACACTCTCCTGCAGGGCACTACAAGGCCGACATGCTCCTCAGCTAGAGCCTAACAGCCTAATGAGGCCAGACTCTGACAACCCAGACCACGAGGAGAGGGTGACGGCTGCTGGCACCTTCTCAACACCCTGGACTCCGA